GAGGGGCGGGGCGGGGCGTGGCGAGAGGGAGGGCGGGGCGCGGGCGCGGGGCTCCCCGGCCTAGAGGTCCCACTCCGCACCACCACACCTCCGCCAGCCGAGTGCAGTCGCCACGAGACCGGAGTAGCTGCGCGGAGTGCGGCGACAGCGGTTACCCCGACCGACACTTCCCTTAGTGGTTCCCTAAATCGTCAGGGTGGGCAGAGCAAAGACAAGAACAGAATGTTAGCTAGTCTGCCATCCTCCAATCTCATTCGCTTTCCTCACTCTTGTGACGTCAGGAGCAACCTACCTGTGCAGGAGATGAATTTTTGCGCAACTGCACCAAAGTTTTAAACGTAAAAGAAATGGAAAGCTCCTCTCTGATGGAAGCATCTACCTGACTGCGTGGGGGGCGAACCTACTTACTTGCAATGCCTAAAATACCTGTAATTAAGAGTGTGTTTTAATGTTCCGGCCTAGGGCTGCCAACTGGCCTTGAGGTACATACTGATAACTGTCAGAGCCAATGATTTATTTCCATTTCCTAAAGTAGATGCTGGCTAACACAAAGGCTGATATTAAAATGGGCAGTAAGATAGTTTGCTAAATCAAAGGCTTAAACAGCTTATTTCAAAAGACCAGCTTTTTTCCAAGTCACTAAGGACTCAATGCAATTTCAAGAACGACTAACAAAATCAGTTAAATGATACTCATTTCCCTTAGGTAATATACCAGTTTTACAAATACAATGCATAAATGTGTACACAAATAATTTCTTAAACTTCATGCTTACAATGCAATATGAGGGACACTGATTTCTTAAAATATTTCTATTTCCTTAAAATTCTAGACTCCGTCAAGCATTTTCCTATTTCTAAACTTTGAACATTAACTTGAAACTCCATGTCTAATAATCATTTGTGCATGAATAAACTGCATTGACAGGCTTATGATGTAGCTGCTAAGTGAAAGGACATTACCTGGTAATTTGACAGGAAAAGAATCCAGAGACAGTCTGTAAACCAATTAAACATAAACATCTGATGCACATTTTCTACTGAAAGAAAAGCAAGGGAAAGAAGAGAAAGGAAAACTTTAAGGTTCCCAAATCTACAAACAATGTTTACCATTAACTGCACTGTACAGTATTTTCATTTTATTTTAAAGAGTACTTTTATAAGTATTTTTGCCCAGAATTCCTGGGGAGAATATTTTAACACAAGTACATAGTTTCCAAGAGTTGCCCGATTGGACTAAGGCACTTTGACTTAAAATGACTTTTTAACATGCCAGTTCATACCCAAATAATCCTTACTTCATACACTGGGTGAAAAGAGCTGAAGGCAAGGAACAATGGATGTGCACAGACTGGAGGTGGGCACAGATTAAAAAAATTGAGCTTAGACGTAGTAGAAACTAAAGCGTTGTGCTATGGGGATAAAGGATGTCCCCCTAAAATATGAAAGGCTAATATACGGATTTTAGCTGGCCACCAAAGGGAAAACTAAAGTATTGTTGAAAAGCAACATAAAAGTACAACGTGCATTAGTCCCTACGTCTTTGATTCTTCAGTTATGACATCAACAAAAATCTCAACTATGCTAAAGATCAGAACATCAGGTCCCTTAAGCTACTGAAACAGTCCTGAAAGTCAGAGAATCAAGTTTGAAACATTTTTGAATGGGTACTTATTTTATTGTAAAATGACTTTAATTAATATTGCCTATCAATGTTATTACCTTTAAATGGCATTATCCTTTGTGTGTGGGGGATCCCCACTACATGTTTCCTTTTTTAAAAAAGTAAATTTGAGTGTAGTATTCTTTTAGACATTACAACTATAAAGAAAAAGAGCTCTAATACTGTAAATCATATCTAACACAGTACTACTGAACTCAGTATATTTTCATTTTAGTCTTGCTACATTCCTATTGTTAAAATTTTTAGGAGTCACCTTCAGGAAGACAGAATCTTTCTCAAAACTCACTCACCATCAGTATCAGAAGTGTATGAGCTAACTGTTCACTGCTCACATCTTGTGTTCTGGGGAGGACCCGGGAGTCTCAGTTCTTCCTACACATATAGTATCTGTCAGAATGTTTCTACTACCAGGTTTTTCTGCCCATGTTTAAATACTTCCAATGACTCTTTTCAAAAATAGTTCGAATGCTTGGGACAGTCTCCTCTTCTTAAGTGAAAAGCTACCTCCTTGTCACTTTCATCCATGACCCTTAGTTCTTCAGCACTTTGTATTAATTCAACAGGCATCTCTGTATTCAAATTAAAGTCAGTATTTATACTTGGGTTGAAAACAGGGCATAACAGAGTTAAATGCACAGGAAAATCCACCATTAACCTCTTCAAAATTATTAGAATTTATTTTGACATTTAAAACGATAGCTGTTAGAATTACATAGTAAAATATTTTAGTTAAACTAAAAAGTGTAGCTAATTCCAATTTCATGTGAGATTTTTGTTTTCTATCTCAAAAAATAAATCATTATACAAGGCCAAATAAATGACTCTTTGGTTCTGATTCACCATTTAAAAGGCCTCTTTATTTTAAGGAAAACTAATACTACTTTTTACCACATTAATCTACTCACAACTCTATTTTACCTGATAAATTATTTTTAAACAAATTACTAAACTCTCCTTTAAAAGTTATTAACTAAGGACTGAGGATACAGCTCAGTGGTAGAGTTCTTGCCTAGCATGTGAGGCCCTTAGTTCAATCCCTACTACTATAAAAGTTATTAAACAACTGGGAGTAAGGGGCTTATGTACACATATACGCACACACGCACATTCTTACAGTCACAAATAGTCTTAGGACAATTTTACTTCAATGAGTACTTTAAATCAATCAATAAACTACCCTGACAACTTACATATACCTAAGATATATAACCCTTTACTCCGTACCAACACCTGATTCAAATACAAGTTATTTTCATCTAAGGCATATACCTGTTTGTGCAGCTCAAAACGGTACCTTTCAAAGTCCACCAGAAAAATACATGCAACAATTCTGACTTTAGGGCTCATTGATATAGATGAATACAACATATCTATACCCCTTAACAAGCTCTGTAATCATTTTCAGGGTCCATAGATCCTTTCTGGAGATAATTTTATGAACTATACCTAAAAATTTTATTTACAAGTGAAAACTACACTACCTTTCCGTGATGCAAAGACAAACTGCCTACAAAGGAAAATTTTTCTTGAATGACATTTTAGATAAATTGAGTTTATCTTGACAGTGGACAGAATCCAGGCAGCACATGACATTTGGAGGCCCCACATCTACATAACAGTACTCATCTTTTTCTTAGTCTTTTATTAATGCCATCCTAAAACACAGAAATTTGGCTCTTCGAACAGTGTAGGTTCTTCCTTTCATAACTATTCCATACAATGTCATCCATTTGCTGCAAAGTTGTATGTTTATAATTCTTACGTTGCTGTTATTTTTATCCCACCCCAAATCTCGAAATTATGGCCCATTAGTAGTTCTCCAACACTGGAACATAGAGAGTAATTTTAATATTTGTATTACATGAGGGAGTCTGGTTTTCCCCTCCCTTTATCTCCGAGTGCCTACCAGCATAACAGCCGTCTTCTCCGCATTGAACCTCAACCAGTTGGTTCTTAACCACGTCCGAAACTCAGCCAGGCACTGGGAGAACCGAGCCACCACACCATCTGGATGGAAAGGAAAGAAAGCCTCAGTAGTAATGAGACAGAAACAATTATTAACACAAACTCATCCATTCTCACATTGAAAAAAAAAAAAAAGGTTGAGAACGACGTCAAGGTCCCCATAGCAATTCTAGTTTAAAAAAAAGTGCCATTTGGGAAGTGGGTACATAGATGAATAATATTGTTTGGGATGTTCCGTATGATATACACACAAAAAATTAAACAAATAAAAAAATGAGTTATATTTGTAAGCAATGGTAAAGGAATAAAAAGAACCGAATAATTAGGTTTCCGAATTTCACCAATGACTGAATAAAGAAAGTTTAGTCAATTTCGGGTTATCTCAGTTAAACCGGCTCAATAGTCAGGCAAGCCTGAAAATTGCTAAATTTTTCAGCAAAACTAGCGATGGAGGATGCTTAATAGAAAAAAACTGAAGCCCAGGGAGGGGGAGTGACTTGCGCAAGGTCACACAGCATGCAAGGACCAGCGATGGGCACCACGCCAGGCACCTCTTCATTACAAGATAAAGCAAATGCCACTCAAATGGGGAGACATGCGCGGGCAGCAGCTCGTTCCCTACAGCAGTGCCTTGGAGTCTCTCTCCTCGTTCCCTCACTCCCACAAGGGCAGGCTGACCCAGGATGCTGCTACCTCAGGATGCAGTGCACTGCCCAGGAACCAGCTTCCCAGGCAACTACACCGCTAGGGAAATCAGAGGAAAAGAGGCGGGGCCACAGGGGAGGAGCCAGGAAGCCACACCCCGCCCGGGAGCGGGGCCCGACGGAAAAGGGCGGACGCCAGCGAGCCGAGCGAACTCACTCGGCAGCAGAGGCCAGGCGAGGCGCGGACGCGGAGGAAGGCTCGCGCCGCACCCACCGCCGAGGCCGAAAGACCGGGAGGGGGCGGGGCCACGCCGGCAGCTGCGCATGCGTGCTCGGCCGCCGCGCCTCCCAGAGGCCCGCCCCGCCCGGCGCACTCGGGCGGCCCCGCCCCGGAAGTCCGGGGTCTTCCGGGCGGCGCTCTGCGGTGGGGGAGGGGAGGAGGAGGGGAAAGGAGACTGAGGGCGCCTCCCGAACCGCGGGTCCGGGCCCGCGCGGACAGGATGGTGTGTGCAGGCCGCACTTACAGCCGCCGCCGCCGCCGCCGCGTCCGCTGCTGCCGCCGCCGCCTGGAGACGCCCCATCCATCCGCCTGCAGCCGGGAGACTCGGAGCCTGGGAGGGGCCTGGGCCTGGGCCGCCCGCCTTCTCCGAGTCGTCGTCCGAGCTTCCTCCCGCTCCACCAACCCTCTGCCCTCCCCTCCGCCTCCGCCCTCCTCCTCTGCCGCGTGCCGTCAGCCAACCGCGCGGCCGCTTTTTGAGCCGGTCTCGGCGGTCGCCATGACGCCCGGCAAACACTCCCGAGCCGCCGGCGCCGGCCGTTGAGGTCCGGGGGCCCCGGGCAGTCGGGGAACCGGGTGCTCGTCCGCCTACCGCCACCATGTACGGCTCTCCGACCGGCACCCGCAAGCAGGCCAACGTCGCCGTGTAAGTGCCGCGGACCCGCATCCTGACCCCGACTAGGAATGGGGTTCCTCCACGTCCCGCGGCTCTGGCCTTTGCGTCCTGGTCCACCTTCCTGTCTTAAGGCCGGCTTAGCTCAGGCACCCCTGCACCCTCGCCTCTGAGCTGTTCTTGCTTTTCCGTTTCTCCGGTTTGCGGTCTCTCAACGTCCACGTCTTCTTGCTTGAGCTGCGCGGCTCCTCTGAGCCACCCGCTCACTAACACTGCTCCCGAGCAGAGATGGTCTTTCTCAGCTACCAGTCTCTGTCCTTTCCGGGTATGGTGACCCACGTCTTTAGTACCGCACTCGGGAGGCAGATAGGCGGATCTGTGTAAGGTCGATTTCCAACCAGCTGGGCCTAGAGGGAGACCCTGTCTCAAACAACAAACAAAATCCTCTTTCCCGCTTACAACATTCCACACCTCTGCAAAAACTGAAAGTCCAGGAGAAAAGCACACAGCTATGTAAACGTGTGCGGGTTAGAACTTGGAAGTGGTTCCCTAGGGCCGTGCACCAAGAAGTTCCCAGTTCATGTTTCCACACTTCTGGCTTCGCAAACCATCCGCAACTTTTCTTAAATCTGTTCACTTTCGTCTCTTGAACCTACTGAAGGTTCGTGGGAGAGAACCTCATATTCGCTCTTGAAAACGGCACTCAGCCTTTTGTCCATTCTTCCCCGTAGCCAAAAACACTTTCTGAAAGCCAGCAATACTCAGTTTCCACTTTGGTACTTGACTGACCGACCCGTCACTGGCTTGGAGCTAAGTGACCACTTACTGAGTTTTGAAAAGCATTTGCTTAGTCGAACACCACTCATTCCTCTGTCTTCGCTAGGCTCATGACTACTTTTTCAAATATTTGACTGACTTAGTCACCTGTCCTGTAACTAAATACTCAAGTATTACAGCGTCGGGCCTGAATCTCGTTCTTTTCATGATTACTTTGTGCCTTTTTAAAGTCATATATTCACAAGTTTTCTGCTCTAATCAAGGTTTTTGTCAAGAAAACAGAAAATGAAGCACTTAGAAATTAGTAGGCATCTCAAGATCCATATCCAAAACTTTAATCCCTCCTTTGTTTCTAGTTTGTGCACAGTCATTCCCACATCAGTAAACAGTAGTCCCTGGAGTCACTCCTAGTTCCTTCAGCTATTTCCGTGTGATGAGGGCCACTCCTTTGAGTAGCCATCCTGCCTAGACTATGTGGGCTCACATAGATGGGTGGTTTCCCTGCCCCAAGAACCCTCCACACTCAGTGAAGCTCTTTTACTCAGAACTTTACTTCAGCTTCTCCCTTTTCACTCTGAGGAAATGCTCACAGTCCAGGGCCACACAGAATCTGACTCTCAACCTTCCACTGGAATAATTGCAATTACCTTATGCCTGTTTGTTTTTTCTTCACAACACATCAGGAGCACTGTATTCCCATTTGTTGGACTTGGAATATTGTATCCCAGATAATCTTAGATTTACTCATTTCTGTCAGTTACCATCACTTGTGAAGTTAATACTTTTTCCCAACAGTGACCGTTTGCTGTAATTTTTCATTAAAAATTATCCCCTTAGGTATATTATAGTCTATTATAGGACAGATTCTGTGTGTGTGTGTGTTTTGTACACTGCTGTATACTCTGCCTAGAATGAAGAATGTGTTTAGTACATACTAGTTGACTGAACAAATGAGTAAAGATATACAAAATGAAACTAAGTTCATGTAAATTAAAACGTGATATAAAACTTGATAGTGGAAAGAACAAAAACAGCTCTTACCTCAAAAGTGGTAAGATATGGTGGTTTATTCTGGAGCCAGATTTGAGTGATCATCTCCTAGCAACACAGATTTTGGTTACTCCAAATTCCATGTTCCAGCATTTTGTGAGTTGTTTTTGTTTTTTTTTTAATGTGTGTATTGCCTGTGTATGTGTAAGTGCACCTGTGTCTTAAAATGCCAGTGGAGGTCAGAAGAGACCGTTGTATTCCCTAGAACTGGAGTTATGCATGGTTGTTGGATGCCAGGTGGGACCTGGGAACCAAACCTGGGTCCTCTGCAAGAGCGGCCAGTGCTTCTAACCACAGTTTTCTCTCCAGCCCAATTTCCTGGAGTTTTATAGCAAAGGAAGAAAGTCAGTAAATCATTACAGATTTCAAATACTTTGGTGGAAGCCTGCCTACATTAGGTAGAAAGATTATAGCAAAGTGGGGATATCTCTGCTTTAGGTCTCAGATGGTGTTAGCTTTTGGGTTGGTAGAAGCTTTTGGTCTGTTAAGTTACTATATCCCTAAAGATTTCACATAATAGTCAAAAAGAAATTAGGTCAGCCACAGCTGAGCAAGGAATGACTATTAAATGGATGGCCCAAGAGAAATTGTCATTAGGCTCTGGAACTACAGCATTCCAACCTCTCCACAGTCATTGAAGTTCTACTCAGTCAGCTTTTGTAGAATGTTCAGTGTAAGGTATGGCTTTCCAGAAACTTCAGTTCATACTCTTAAAAGTAATGTTAGAAAAACTGCCTTGGGAATCTCTTAGATACTGCCATTTGTGATAGATTGACTGTTAAGAAGAGGATGGGATGGAAGATGGGAAGTATGGTAGGTTTTTGCGATAGCCATATTAATTAAAATTCAAAGAGAGCTACATTAGGAGAGAGCCTCACTACCCCCTCCTCCAGGGAGGAGCAAGATTTGCCTTTGAGGTGGGAGAACATTGAAGAGATAGAGCATCAGACCAGAGGCAGCATGATAGCCTTGGAGAGCTTGAGAGAGCATTCCCTTCAGAATCCCAAAGAGCTTTAGAAGAGATGGTTGCCATATAGCATGATGTGGGTCCTAGAGAAAAGAGCATTCATATCCACAGGGCAAAAGAGGTTTCTGATTCTTACTGGTTTCTAGAGGAGTAAGCAGGCTTCACACACTGTCATCTGGCCTGCCTTGGCCTACATGCCACAAGTGGGGCAATAAACTTACCTTACAGCACAAGCTTTAGTGCCAGCTGTATCCCTGAGAAAGATCTGGGGGAGAGGGAAAGAGCCTGTCAGTTCTTTGTCCCAAGGGACAGGCTACAAATGGCTTGTTAGAAGGTCTGTGATCTAACGTTACACATCTCTTCTTGCAAGTCATCCATTATTAGAAATGCTTAGCATATTGGTTACTTTAACTTCATAGTCTTAACAATTCGAAATTATCTACCATTTCTGGTTCTACTACTTGATTTGTCTCTTCACTCTGCTATTCCTGCCTTTCAATATGCTTTAGAATTTTTGTTTGAAAGTGAACTGTATTGTATGACATTTGTATGGCTAGGAATAAGGCTGTATTTACTCTTTGCTATAGGTATAACTGTGTGAGGCTTGGATTTCCTCCCTGTTTTTATCTGCTGTGTTTTTTGGGGTTTTAGGTTTCCCTTAGAGACTCTAAAATAGTTTCCCTAATGTTCCCTAATTTTCAGCAGGTAAAGACAATTGCTGGCAAGCCTGGTGATCTGAGTTTGATCCTTGGGCGAGCATGTTGGAAGGAGTGAAGTGACTCCTTTAATAATTTGTCCTCTGTCCTCATGTGTGCTGTGGCATTCATGTGCATACAAACTAAATAATAAAAATTTTAAAATGAAATGTTCAGTTACTTGGGGTACTCAACTGCTAATGCCCTCAAAGATGGATAATCACCCAGCATCTCTGAATTCTGTTCAGAAATGTGCTCAGAAGTTTGAGGTGAGAAGTAAGATCCAAGAGTTCATCTCCTAGAGTTGTAACAGAGTACCTGATAGTCTTTTTATTCCAGGCAGACTGGAATCTTTGATGGAACCTTTCTTTCTTTCAGTTGGTGAAATCACTTGATTTTATCTTTTTGGGGATAGCTGTAACCAAATCTAAATTTTCGGTTATATTTTAACATATTTTTTAATAGCAAAGGTTACCCTTTTATAGAGATGATTCCTATCTCTCTTTTTTTTTTTTGCAATTTTCATATAATTTGTTGATAATTAGATCCCCTGTCTTCACTTCCCCTTCTTGTCCCTGCAATTTAATGTACTCTATTATACGTGCTCTTAACCACTGAGCCATCTCTCCAGCCCCACAAATCCAATAAGTTTTATTCAACTTTTTAAATCGAATTTTTGCCATTTTCATGAAATATAATAGAATATAGATGATACTTCCCCTTCTTGTCCCTGCCAAATTTAATGTACTCTATTATACATATAATAAGGCCTATAGAGTCTAATTGGTGTTTCCAAATGTCCTGGTTAACCTACCATGAGTCCCATACTTGAAAGAGGCTGTCTCTGGCTACTACAGCTTACTTTGGTGAGGTTGGAACTTCTTACCCACCAGAATTTTTTTTTTTTTTTTCTGGTTGCAACTTGCATGGGACTTGTACATACTGTTAACTGTTCTGTGAGTTCATATGAGTAAATTACCAGCTGTCTGGAAAACTGTTTCCTTGTGGTCATCCACCACCTCTGGCTCTTACAGTCTTTCTGCCACTTTTTCCACAATGATCCCTGAGACCCTTGGGGGTGGGGGGGAGGAGCAGAAGTTTGATATAGATGTCATATAGTTTAACGTATTTTTTTTTTTTTTGAGCTAGGACACCAAGTACCTGTTTTCTAAGGAACTAATGATAAATATTTTCCAAAAGGGATAGATTTTGGGTGAAAATCAATTTTATAAATACATTTAAATAGTTGTCAATTAAAAGTTCTATGATTACCATGTATAATTTAGTAGGAATGCCCCATGAAGGAATAATTCTTTTAAAGAGAATTTTCCCTACTGTTAAAGTAGTGGCTATCCAGCAAGTGAAAGGTTTAACCAATGCGAAAACATATGAAAATGAAATCTAGTCACAAGTGTTAAATGTCTCATTTACTAAAAGGAAGAAACAAAAATTCTTGTTTTTCTAAATCACTTATTTTTATAAACATTACCAAGAGCAGCTCAATACCTAAAAAAAAAAATCTTATTGTAAACATAGCATGTGTG